CTCTGCTGGCCTTAAAGATGGAAGTTTCTGAATTTTGCCAACAACTGGTGAACTTGGAAGAGGCCCCACAGCCCCAGGGGAGAAGTTTGCCTTGAACTTGGTGAGAGCCTGAGCAGAGAATCCAGCCAGGCCTTGCCAGACTTCTGATCTACACTCTGTGAGATAACAAGTGGGTATTATTTTAAGCTACTACCTTTGTGGCAATTTGTTGTACAGCAATGGAAAATGAAGACAGAAGGTTCATGCCAATATTCCAGTTTTCTAGAGTTTCTCAGAAACCCTGAGCTCACTCAACTGCAAAGTGAGTGGTGGTGTGGATGTTTGAACCCGAGTCTGTCTGTTCTAAAGCCCACACTGGCTCTCCCATTCAGCCTCTCCAGATGAGGAAAGTGAGTCACTAGAGGCACTGCCAGGGTCAGCTCCCCAGGATCTCAGCACAGAGGAGGTGGGACCAGGCTGTAACCCCCTCCTGCTTCCAGTTCATGTAAGGAGCCCCAGGAACCTCCAAGTCGCCTTCTGTCTGTGTCTACATGCAACGGTGAACGGCCTGAACCACCCTAGAGCCCCTGGAGTCACAGCACTGCCTCCCTTTTACCTTAGGTAAAAGGTACTGTCCTCCTCGGGGAGCCTGGCAGACCTTACCCAGACATTGGGTGGTGGTCTGCTGGCCACCTCTCACTCTAGGGGACTCCACTTCATGCCCTAACTTCTCTCATTCATGCTCAGAGTCAGAGGTGCCTCATGAGCCAGAGCAGACATGAAGCTCAAAGATGTGTCCAGTTTGACCAACAGTATTTAAACACACACACACACACACACACACACACACACGATGTTTAAAATTGTGAAGTTTTGCTGGGCACAGTGGCTCATGCCTGTAATCCCAGCCCTTTGGGAGTTCGAGGCAGATGGATCATGAGGTCAGGAGATTGAGACCATCCTGACCAACATGGTGAAACCCCATCTCTACCAAAATACAAAAAATTAGCCAGGCATGGTGGCGCGTGCCTGTAGTCCCAGCTCCTCAGAAGGCTGAGGCAGGAGAATCGCTTGAACCTCGGAGGCGGAAGTTGCAGTGAGCCTGGCAACAAAACAAGACTGTCTCAAAAAAAAAAAAAAAATTGTGACGTTTCACACTGAAAGCCATATTGCCTGTCTCTCTTGGGGAATCGGAAGCTCTGGCCATACTGAGCCCATCTTCCCACTTGGCAGCCAAAGCTAAAGCCGAGTGGCCACAAGGTCCCCCAGTAGAGGGTGAGCTCTGGAGTGCCCTAGTCCCCACCACCCCCTATTGCCTCCCTGTGCTTACCTCACCTGCCTGCCCCCCCAAAAACATCTGAGTACCAATCCCCTAGGATTGATTCTGTGACCTTACCCTCTGCCTCCTGCCCTGCCCAGTCCCCGGGGATCACGGGGGACAGTGCCCAGCCTATGTGAAGCTAGCAGGGCTATGAGAAATAGGCCACTAGGATGGAAACTCAGGGGTCTCTTCCAGACCTGTTTGTGTGGACAGCTGTTCCCGGTGACCCAGGTCAGCTAAGAACGTCAGGCTATCTGCATCTGTCTGCATCAGTCCCCTCAGCCTGAACTGACCCCCTCTCTCCCTTGTTGGGGCCTAAGTGCAGGTACTAATGCTCATTTTCATCCTTCACGTTCCTTGGTGCTTAATGGGGCAATGGCATTTAGCCAAAAGGCACCTGAGACAGGTGGAAATGACCTCTCCTGCCCCTTCCCTCCCCTCGAGGCTGCTGCCCACATCCACATGGCCCTTTGGGGAGACTCAGCTCCCCCAACTCACTACCAGGCCCACTGCCAAGGAGGAGAATCAAAACCCTACTCTGCCTTCAGCCCCCAGGCTTCTAGGAAAAAGCCCTAGAACAGATGCGGAGGCGACACTCTGCTGCCTTCGGTGGTGAGCTGAGATGCTAATGCCGCAATGCAAAAGACAAGAAATGAGCAGCAAAAAAAGGGGAGGGAGGTGGAAAAATTAAATTTTGCCTGATCAGCAAGGTTTCAAACAATCGCTCGCCAACTGAAGTGGGTGCCACGTCTATAAGTCATTCTGTTTTATAGACCATTAGGATCTCCAGAGAGAACCTGCATGGAGACCACTGCTTTTTGTTGAAATTAAAATGTCAGAGAAAAAGAAATAGAACAAAACAGGGAATCTGCAATTAATTACCAGGCCATAAAAATTCAATAATCAGGAAGCAGAGCGGCCGTGGGCCCAGAGGTATCAGAGCCAGCGTAACAAGAATGGAATACATTAATCTTTTCAAATTAGTTTTTTAATCTGACGGGGATATATGGTGACATGCCTCCCCTCCCCGCCCGCTCCCCTTCAACCTCCACCGCTCAGGCCTAAAGCCAGGCTGTGGGAGGGAGGTTCAGTTTGAGCTGGGGACCTGCAGCAACCTGGACCCCGGGCTGCAGCGAGAGGGCTGTCCGCGGCCCCAGCTGAGCCCAGGACCCTCAGGCCCCTCGTCTGGCGGACGCGTCTCAGTAGAGGAGCCAGGAAGGCCTGTTCCCCTTGGATCCCAGGGTACAAGGGAGCGGGAGGCCCGTATCCTCTGTTGGCTGCAGGGTCTGGGCGGTGATCTCTGAGCTTTCCTGCTCTGGAAAATGGAAACAAGATCACAGCCGCCCCCGGACCTTGGATGCCTTGTGCCTGGTGGCCAGCAGGTCCTCAATAAAGGGCCCCCTGCTGTTACTATTTTTACTCCTGGCAGCAAAGACTGTTGCCGGGCAACACTCTATTCAAGAGCATTTATTTAGTGCCTGCTGTGTGCTCAGCCCTGGAAAGGGGAGACCAGCAGCCTCCGTCCTTATGCTGGAGAATGAGGCTCAGGTCAAGTCAGAGGCCAAGCAGGAGTAGAGGGTCAAAGAGTAAAGGGCAATGAGCTTGTCCTCATGCAGGGGTGCTAGCCCAGTGGCAGGTCCCAGGAGGGCCAAAGTGGCAGGCTTAGACCCCACACAGCCACGTGCTCCAGCGGCAGCCGGCTGATTGATCAAAGGACCAGCCCCATCCCTGTCTCTGATTGGAGGCCGTGCCCTCCTACCAGAGCCTCGCTGCAGAGCTCCGCCTCCTCCTGCCTCTCCTTTGCTAGGCCCAAGATTCCTGAGGCTCAGATCACTTCAAGTTTCTGGCCTTCAGCCTCAGCCAAGCCACTCTCTCATTAACCCCTCAACAAGCCGGCCTCTGGGCCTCGCTCAGGCTAAGCCCCTCAGTGGATCTCAATGCCTAGTCAGCGTTGTTAAAATGGACTCTTGGCTGGGCACGGTGGCTCACGCCTGTAATCCCGCCACTTTGGGAGGCCGAGGCAGGCGGATCAAAAGGTCAGGAGTTGGAGACCAGCCTGGCCAATATGGTGAAACCCCGTCTCTACTAAAAATACAAAAAATTAGCCGGGCATGGTGGCAGGCGCCTATAGTCTCAGCTACTTGGGCGGCTGAGGCAGGAAAACCGCTTGAACAGAGGTTGCAGTGAGCCAAGATCAGCCACTGCCCTCCAGCCTGGGCGCCGGAGTGGTGCGGGGGGAAGGACTCATAGCCTCCACCCCAGGGGACATCTGCAGAGCAGCAGGCATATGGCATTCTGCCCTTCTGACTTCGACTCCTTTTAAAGGTAACATGATAGCTCACTAAGTGCCAGGCCCCACATAAGTCCTCCGCCTGGATTTTTTCATTGGGTCCCCTGGGAGGTTGGGACTATTCATAATCCCACTTCACAGTGGCAGAAGTCTTGACACTTAAGTCACCCGCCAGTTGTATGTGAGCCGAGTCTCTGAAACCAGCTTCACCGCCCATGGTCCCAACTACTTGGGAGGCTGAGACAAGAGGATTGCCTGAGCCCAGGAGCTTGAGGCTGCAGTGAGTGGTAAACTTGCCACTGCACTTCAGTCTTGTCAGGGACCTTGCCAAAAAAAAAAAGAACAACAAGGCTAGTCAGGTTGGCTCAGGCCTGTAATCCCTGCACTTCGGAAGGCCGAAGCAAACGAATCACTTGAGGCTAGGAGTTCAAGACCAGCCTGGCCAACATAACAAAACCTGTCTCTACAAAAAATACAAAAATTAGCTCAGTGCGGTGCTGTGTGCCTGTAATCCCAACTACTCCAGAGGCTGAGGCAAGAGAATCACTTGAACCAGGAGATGGAGGTTGCAGCAGTGAGACCAGATCGCACCACTACATTCCAGCCTGAGCGACAGAGCAAGGCACAGTCAAAAAAAAGGAACAACAAAAACAACCACGACAGCGTCTTTCACTTCCTCCGGAGTTTGGCGCATGGTAGGAGTTGAATCAGTGCTCTCTGGAAAGTGTTTCAGCAGAACAACCTTGCAAGCGGGCCTCACCGACTTTCTCCCCAAGATATCTTCATTCTAACCTACAAACATAACAGCGACTGCCATTTATGTATTGTGCTGCTGTGTGCAAAGCTGTGGGATCTGGTGTCTTTTAGGTTAAGATTATGGGCCCCATTTTACAGGAAGGAAACTGAGGCTCAGACTGGCAGCCCCAAGAGCAGACACTGATATCCATTTGGCCCCCAAAGGCAGGATTTTAACAGCTAAGAATATGGTCTCAGTTCCACATTAACCAGGCCCACTCCAGGGCTCCTGAACTCCAACTAGAGGCTGCGTGCCCTCAAACCAGGTCCCTCACTGCTTCAGCCTGATGCTTTGGGGCATCTTGCCCAGGAGGTCTTCCCCCTTTAATCTGTATTATTTGTATTCGTGACTATCTTGTAGCTTACACTCCATACACAATCCACATACTCCCCAAGGGGTCTCAGCATAAATGGTGGCGAGGAGAAAAAAGCATTGGCAGGAGGGCAAAGGACGCAGGCCCCTGGACTGCGGGCATGGGCGGGAAAATTCAGATCCAAGTTCTGGGCCTGCTACCCGCAGGGGCGCAGTTCCCCGCGCGGCCACCAGATCGCGCCCGGCTCTCTCGGGCGGGGCTTGCACTAAGGCTGTGTGGCCGCCAGATGGTGTCCGAGACTGCGGCTCGGAAGACAGTGCCCCCCAACAAGGCGGAGCCCAGCGGGTCCGCGAGTCCGAGACCTGTCCCAGGAGCTCCAGCACACGTGACCTACCGCCACCTCCTGCTCGCGCCATGACCCAGCCAGTGCCCCGGCTCTCCGTGCCCGCCGCGCTGGCCCTGGGCTCAGCCGCGCTGGGCGCCGCCTTCGCCACCGGCCTCTTCCTAGGTGAGTAGGACCTGGACCCCGCGGGCGAGCGAGTGGGCGGGCTCAGAGGAGGGCGCGGCGCGGCTCACGTTAACTCCTGCAGCTGCGGAGCCCGGGGCCCTGACCCAGCACCCTCTCCCTGCAGGGAGGCGGTGGCCCCCATGGCGAGGCCTGCGAGAGCTGCGCCTGCTTCCCCCCGAGGACAGTCCCCTGTGGCAGTATCTGCTGAGCCGCTCCATGCGGGAGCACCCGGCGCTACGAAGCCTGAGGCTGGTCAGTAGGGCTCAGGGCGGGAACGGGCGTCCACCTCGGGCCCGGCGGGTCCCACGTGGCTGTGTGACCTTGGGCGGGGCTGTGGCCCTCTCTGGGCTTCCGGCTTCCCAGTGCTGGGTGTGGTGGGCGTTCCCGGAGGGCCTTTCCCCCAGACCACGCCCAGAACCGCTCCCTTGGGGGCTTGGGACCCCAGGACGGGCGTGGGTGACCGACAGGGCTGGTACCGCCCTCTTCCTTCTCGCAGCTGACCCTAGAGCAGCCGCAGGGGGATTCCATGATGACCTGCGAGCAGGCCCAGCTCCTGGCCAACCTGGCGCGGCTCATCCAGGCTAAGAAGGCGCTGGATCTGGGTAGGGGCACGCGGCCGGGATCCCCGAGGGCCTTGGCTGCCGGGCTGACCCCCACTCTGGGCTGAGCCCGTCTGTGTCCCCGTCCCAGGCACCTTCACGGGCTACTCCGCCCTGGCGCTGGCCCTGGCGCTGCCTGCGGATGGGCGCGTGGTGACCTGCGAAGTGGATGCTCAGCCCCCGGAGCTGGGGCGGCCCTTGTGGAGGCAGGTGAGCGCCCGCACCGAGCCCCGCAGCCCCAGGTGAGGGCGCAACGGCTGACCCGCTCCCTCCGCAGGCCGAGGCGGAGCACAAGATCGACCTCCGGCTGAAGCCCGCCCTGGAGACCCTGGGTGAGCACCGACGTGGAAAGGGCTTTGCGGCCATTGCAAATGGGGCCAGTGGGCCCAGCTGTGACCGGGCCTACCGGACGGGTTAAGGGCAGGACCGGCGGTCACAGCGCCCAGGCCGTCCTGGGAGGGGGATTAGGGCCGCCAGGGACAAGGACTCAGCCCCACCTGCCCTCCCTCTCCCGCAAGACGAGCTGCTGGCGGCGGGCGAGGCCGGCACCTTCGACGTGGCAGTGGTGGACGCCGACAAGGAGAACTGCGCCGCCTACTACGAGCGCTGCCTGCAGCTGCTGCGGCCGGGAGGCATCCTCGCCGTCCTCAGAGTAAGGGATCCACGGCGGGGGAGGAGAAAGCTCCCTCTCTCGGGCCGGGTCCCCGTCTTTTCCCCTAACTCCTTCTATACCCCAAAGCCCCACCCAGTCCAGTCACGTAGGCTCCACCCACTGCGGGGCTCTGGTCCCCTCCCGCCAGGGCACCTCCCTCTGAGGCCCCGCCTCCCTCGGCCCGATTGGCCCCGCCCTCTTGAAACCCCGCCCCCCGCAGGTCCTGTGGCGTGGACAGGTGCTGCAACCTCTGCAGGGGGACGTGGCCGCCGAGTGTGTGCGGAACCTAAACGAACGCATCCGGCGGGACGTTAGGGTCTACATCAGTCTCCTGCCCCTGGGCGATGGCCTCACCTTGGCTTTCAAGATCTAGGGCTGGCCCCTAGTGAGTGGGCTCAGGGAAGGGTTGCCTGGGAACCCCAGGAACTGACCGAGTTTTAAATTCGACAATAAAATGGGGCTTGGGACCTCCTGAGCCTCCGTGTGTGACGCTGGATGGGGAAAGCAGGGAAGGCCCAGCACAGACAACTCCCTTCAGTGAAAGGGGCCTTGAGATTCTTCCCCTCCCTGGCGCCAGGTCTGGTCTTACTGCAGGAACCTCCAGCTGGCAGGAGGCAGGTTATAAAGTTTTAATTGGCCTGGCCATGTGTAATGGCCAGAGACCCCAGCTCCTCGGGCTTGTCTCCCTCCTACATCTCTCCCTCAGGACAAATGAAACTCTCTGGTTCTGTGCAGCTGGGACTGGTGGGGGCCCCGTCTGGGATTTGATAACAGAAAAGAGGATTGAAGGGGACCACGGGTGTCACTTGTGTGCTTTTGTGGGTGATGCCGGTTCTGCTGGCAGCTTGCTCATGTCTTCACAGCACAGTCAGCTCCCTAGCCTCACCTCTCCAGTGAAGGCCCTGGTCAGGGGACATCACCTCTGAGAGCCAGGCCAGTTGGCCTGGACCCGAAGACCTCAGGGTTGACTTATTTATCCTGCCCTCTCCTTGAAATTCTGAAGGAAAGTGAGGGGGATCACTGGCCAGGGAGTTATGAAGTAGACTGGCCCATAGATATGGCAGTTACCACACTCCCTAGAGGATGAAGAGAACTTCAGGCTTTCCTGAACCTCTGCCTATGAGGGAAGGTGAAGGAAGCAGGCCTTATGGAGCACCTTCAACCCAGGTCCTCTGCTGCTCATTTAAATTTCCCCAACCCCACAGATCTTATCTCCACTGACAGATGAAGGTCAAGTTCTTTCCACTGACACTGCCTCAGGCGGAAATGCCATTAGCCTAGAATTCAAGCAGCCTTTGCCACCACCTGGTAAGCCCCAGTGATGGAAGGTGCCCCTGGAGACTCCTGGAAGCAGGGCTAAAAGAGCCCCACAAGCTCACAGCTCCTGGGACATACTTTGCATTTTGGACAATACTCGGGACACTGGCTGAAACCTACTCTTTTCTAACTCATAAAAGCATATTAGGATGCACATGAGTGGAGGTTGAATTTAAGCAGAACCTTGACAAACAGCTAACTCACTTGTGCCACGCCTCAGTCCAAATTACTGTAGCCACTGCCCAAAACCACCCGTTAGCTAAGAGGCAGCAGTCTGAATGACTAGGATTTCTTTCTTTGGGGGACCACCAGCAGTGATTAGTTACGTGGGTCTACTTCACACTACAAGAGTTGCTCTCAGGCCTAAGCCTGCATGGACATCTTTTCATCCGTTTCTTCTCTTACCTTGCAATAGGTCCTGACTCAGGCTGGCTCAGATTCTGTCGCTTGAGTCATGTGTGTCTGAAGGCCTTTCAGAGAACCCGAGATTTCAGAGATTCATTCACATGGGCCATTCAAACCAGTCCCCTAGGAAAAACATAGTGGGACCAGAGGGGGTCTTCGTGCCCCCAACTCTCTTGTGTGGAGAGCTTGCTCTGATCTCTCACCAGCTTCTTCTCAACCTGCAATTTTGTAGCATGTATCCTTTCTCGGGTGACGAGTCCCATTTTTTTTTTTAAGTAGAGACAGTTTCTTCATGTTGGTCAGGCTGGTCTAGAACTCCCGACTTGAGGTGATTTCACCTACCTCAGCCTCCCAAAGTGCTGGGATTACAGGCGTGAGCCACCGCGCCCAGCCAAAAGCAAGTTTATTAAGAAATTAAAGGAATAAAAGAATAACTACTCAATGGGCAGAGCAGCCCCTTATCCATTTCTTATCACTCAGGCTCCATCATTCTTCAGGTCTATTATTACAGAACAACTCTCCTCTCCAACCTTTAATCATATCCTACAAATTACCTCCTCCTAACAGAAAACTTGCTCTTTCCTACTTTTCCAGCTAGAACCACCTATTAATGTCTAATTATTGCCCAGATGAAGGCCCATGCCACACAGCCTAAAGGGGTTGCCTCTGGTCTCTTACCTACCACCTTTGTCAGTGTCTGCCTGGAAGGAAATGAGTAATGACCTCTCACATTCCCTCAGGTTACCCTCACTGTCTACACCTTACTCCTCTCCTCTATGCCTAACCCCTCTCAGCAAACAAGGGCCTAGTTTCCTAGAAGTACCCCACAGAGGTACGGTGTGCACGTTTAACTTCAGCACATTCTCTTCATTTTCCTTCCAATGATACAGTGCAATTCTGCACAAACTTACAAACTGAAGAGTGTCAAAGCATGTATCCTCTTATTGTAGTCTTGAAAAGCTCATGGAATTATTCTAGGGACACAGAAGATCCTGTGGCACAGATTTAGGTAAAGAGCAAAATGCTTACTGGAAAAATTAAGTACTGGCTAGCTACCAGCGAGATTTGACTGTAGCTGGCAAATGTGGAACTCTGCAAATACTTGGAGCCATTAATTATGAATACTTGTTTTATTCATAATTTGTCATGTTCTGGGATACCAAAAGTAATTCTAATAATGGCTGAACTTAAAAAAATGTTAACCTCATCTTAAAATATCCACTGATCCATCTCATTCAATGGTAATAGTGAATGTTTTCTAAAGGAACATAAAAAACAAACATGCACACAATTGCACAGTTTTCATAAAGGTCTATTTCATTATTGGTGGGTAGCACATTTAACAGTTAAATACATTTAAATAATGTATAGGTGACTGCAGGACTGCAGCATTGGTAACTAGATAACCAATTCAACTAGAAACCAGCTAACAAGGAACTGTCTAAATATTTGAAATACAGCTCTTGTTGAGATCATCCTTTGTTTTGATCATCATCTTGGGGGGAAAAAAAGCCTGCTGCTGGTCACAATGGAAATATATTAAGGCCAAATCTTCTCATATCCATTCCCAAAGGCTTCTTTCAGCTGGATTAAGCCTCCAACTCCAGGGCAAGCCCAAGCTTGTGGCCTCCGGCATTAATGCTCTTCCCATCTACCAAAGCAGACAGTGTAAGCTTCACACCTGTTAAGAAAAAAAAACAAAAAATAAAACAAACGTGATGTGCCTGGCACTTCACTCAGTCTGAGCCTTCTTTCAGTCATCCCAGAGCCTGCCTGTCACTTCCTCAGCCTGTCAGCTGGCCTACCAGTGCTGGCCACCAGAGGGCGCTTGGAAATATGAGACACCCGAAGAACTGGGTTACCATTCTAGGTAAGGCACCAAGTCAGAGACAATAGAAATGTTAATAACCAGAAGTTAAAAGTGTTCTAGAAAATACAAGGCTGGGCACAGTGGCACACGCCTATAATCCCAGTACTTTGGGAGGCAGAGGCAGGTGGATCACGAGGTCAAAAGATTGAGACCATCCTGGCTAATATGGTGAAACCCCATCTCCACTAAAAATACAAAAATAAGCTAGGTGTGGTGGTGAGTGCCTGTAATTCCAGCTACTCAGCAGGCTGAGGTGGGAAAATCACTTGAACCCAGGAGGTGGAGACTGCAGTGAGCCAAGATCACACCACTGCACTCCAGTTTGTCGACAGAGCAAGATTCCACCTCAAAAAAAAAAAAAAAAATGTTGAATTACTATCCAGGTGAAAAGAGACTAGAGACATAATCGTAATTAGATGCTAGAAAAGAAAACCTACATTAAAGACACATTTGGGGACGGGGGTAAATCTGAATATGTATTTGTAATATTACATTAATGTTAGCGTTCTTAGATGTGACAATGGTATTGTGCTTATAAAGAAAAATGTCTTACTCTTAGGATACACATGCTAGGGCTGCCATGTCTGTATGTTTGCAAAACATACATTTCTTTAAAAACGTTTTTTATTTTTGTTTTTTGTTTTTTTTTTTTTTAACGTTTCTTTAAAAACGTATTTGAAAAGGAGTTTCAGGCTGGGCACTCTGGGAGGCCCAAGCGGGCAGATCACCTGAGGTCAGGAGTTCGAGACTAATCTGACCAACATGGAGAAACCCCATCGCTACTAAAAATATTAAAAATTACCCAGGCATGGTGGCGCATGCCTGTAATCTCAGCTGCTCAGGAGGCTGAGGCAGGAGAATCGCTTGAACCTGGGAGGCGGAGGTTGCGGTGAGCTGAGATTGCGCCATTGCACTCCAGCATGGGCAACAAGAGCAAAACTGTCTCAAAAAAAAAAAAAAAGTTTCAGAGACATAAATGTAGTACATGTTAGTAACTGGTCAACGTGGAGGAAATGCGTATGATGTTCATTGTACCATTCTTCCAAATTTTCTTTAGGTTTCAAAATTGCCAAAATAAACTTTGGGGAGGAAAATCCCTATTTGGAAGGGAAAAAAGTCCCCAGTACTTTAACAAGACTCCAAGATGAGTCGTGTGCAGCACACTGAAGTTGGAGAAGTGCTGCAAAGCAATGATTGAACTTTGATCAACGGAAAAATTACTACAAACATTTCAGGTACAAGTGAGGAAATGGAATAGGAAGTGGATATTAAATAATAAGGAATCACTGCTTTCTTAGGTGTTAGTATTACAGTTATGTAGAAAAGGAGAGAAAGTCCTTATTCTGAAGAGAAGTGTCATGACCAAATGGCCTAGCAAAAAAAGGGAAGGAAAAAGAAATAAAAAATTGTGGCAAAAGGTAAACATGTATTTATTGTACTTTTCTTTCAACTATTCTGTATGCTTGCTTGAACGGTATAAAAAATAAGCTGAGGAATGAAAACTAAATGTTTAAATACTATCAAAACAATCCTACTTTATCAAGAATACTTACCAGGCCTCAGAGTCTGAGTATAGCCTACTCCAATTAAGCTAGAGTTGTTGACTTTTGCCTAAAATAAAATTCAAAAACAACTATAAGAAAAATATTTCAATAGAGACAAAGCCCCTACATGTTTCCCCATCATGTAGTCATGAAGTATTCAGTTTTATTCATGTGAGACAATAAAATGCAACATTATGTATCAAGTCAAACAGAAACCAGGTACCACTACTTATCCATTCAGCTCAAAAATCAAATTGTCAGTAGGACACAACAGTACTCTTCATAGACCTTGGAATGTATCCAAAGACCCCAAACTGTCTGTATAGCACAAGACCCTAAGCAGTCTCATAAAAATCCTTGTTGATTCTAGTCTAGCATAACAAAACCAGACCAAAATGTGGTACCAATCAGGCTCACTAGAGGTGACATACACCAGCCCTAAAGTGCAGGCTGTACAGTTTAAATTCATGACTTAGTTACAAACATTACTACTTTCAGGGCTCTTCCTAAAGAATCAAAACCATCAATGTTTTTTTAAAAATTCCCAAACAGGCCAGGCGTAGTGGCTCACACCTGTAATCCAAGCACTTTGGAGACCAAGGCGGGTGGATCACCTGAGATCCGGAGTTCAAGACCAGCCTGACCAACATGGTGAAACCCCATTTAAAAAAAAAAAAAAAAATCCCCAAACAACAAGTAATTTCTCTGTAGAATCAAACAATCCTTTATCCTCACATTCTCATACCTCTCATTAATGCTGGTGCCACTGAGTTCTGGCTGTATGTAACCAATGGGCTTGGGAGGAGGTCCCAGTGAGGCATCATGTACCAATCCAGGCCCCCACCTTCCCTGCACAATCCTAACATTTTAGGACTTACAAACTTCAAGGCCTGGAAGGAACCCTGAAGAATAAGACATAATAAGGAGTAGCTTCCTTCTAGCTCCATTCTCTACTACCACTAACATTATTAAGCCACATCAGAGGCCTGTCGATATAAATGTGGATAACTGCCCTCATTTCCAGGGCCTAGGTTGCCTAGACATGCAACTTTGCTTAGTTTTCAGCACTCTGAGGGCTATAGTTTAAAGGTAATGGCCTATGTAAGCAAAACAGATCTGCAAATGATTTGATGTCTATACTCTTACAATGTGCAACATGCAAAAAGCCCAATCCAGAGAAAGAAATGATGTAACTATACAGACACAAGCCACATCCACAACACTTGTATTTGCTTGGCACTACAGCCAAATATTCATGAGCTAGCAATGACCAGCTAAAGAAAAAAACAGGCCAGGAGCAGTGGCTGACACCAGCAATCCCAGCACTTTGGGAGGCCAAGGTCGAGAGGATCGCTTGAGCCCAGGAGTCCAACAGCCTGGGCAACATAGTAAGACCCCTGTCTGTCTGTACAAAATTTTTCTAGTCTGGCATGTTGGTGCACACCTACCCAACTATCAGGGAGTGGGGGTGAGATGGAAGCATCTCTTGAGCCCAGGTGGTTGAGGGTGCAGTGAGCTATGATTGCACCAGCGTAACTACAGCATAGGCAACAAAGCTCAAAAAAAAAAAAAAAAAAAAAAAAGGAAAAAATACCTGACTAATGACCATCTTGTGCCCTAGAAATAAGAGCCTCAGACAGCTGGATATAAATTTCTATTATTTAACAGGAGTTAAACCATGAAACTGTGATAAGGAGTAAAAATAAATGAACTCAGTTTCCCCCTCTATACTTTCACAAGACCTAGGGGGAATTTCCCACAAAGCAAGCAATCAATTCTGCAACAGACTCCACCCAGATGTTCTCTAATTCAATTCCAATACTATCTACCTGGAGAGAGCATCACATTCCACAGGTTCAAGGCTCAGTTTCATAAAACTGCCCCACCCTCATTTTCAAAGCCAACCTCAAGCTCCAGGTTGTTTTGCCTCTGCTTTCTTACAGACTAGTTATAAATCAGGGTTCTCAAAAGCCCCTTGGGTTCAATTCATTTGCTAGAGTGGCACACAGAACTGGAAATATATTTACCAGTTATATAGAATACTTTAAAGGACATAAATGAACAGCCAGATAAAAAAGATATGTATCTTTTCCTTTATAGATGAGGTCTAGCAGGAGTTTCTATCCCTGTGGAGCTGGGGTGCCCCACCCTCCAAGGACATGAATGTATGACTGTTTACCTTTCTGAAGGCCCCCTGAACTCAGTCCTTTGGATTTTTATGAAGACTTCTTTACAAAGGCACAATTAATCAAATCATTGGCCATTGGCTCAACCTTTAGCTACTATGCCCACCCCAAGGCAGGTTTGTTCCCGTAGTCATCTAGGGACTAGCCAAAATTCACCTCATTAACATAAGCTCAGATGTGGCTGAAAGGGGCCAGTTAAAAATAACAAAAGAGCCCAGGGCACAGTGGCTCACACCTGTAATCCCAGCACTTTGGGAGGCCAAGGCAGGTAAATCACTTGAGGTCAGGGGTTGGAGTCCAGCCTGGCCAACATGGTGAAACCTCATTTCTACTAAAAATAAAAAAATTAGCCGGGCATGGTGGCAGGCACCTGTAATCCCAGATACTAGGTAGGCTGAGGCACCAGAATTACTTGAATCCAGGAGGCAGAGGTTGCAGTGAGCTGAGATTGTGCCACTGTACTCCCATCCAGCCTGGATTGAGAGTGAGACTCCATCTCAAAAAAAAAACAACAGAAAAGACTGTCTTTCACTTTTATGCTCTGGAGCTGTTTCAGGAACCAAGGGCAAATGGCCAAATATCTTAACAAAAAGATACTCTTATTGCTCTATTCACATGGGAAATACAAGAGTTTATAGAAGCTGTGAGCCAGGAACTGGACAAAAACCAAAATATATATACCATAGTATCAACAAGAATCCCGTACAGCTAAAAGGTCCATATATCTGCAAGATTGTTTACACTTGTTGTATTTATATAACAGATATATTAGGAGTATAAACACAAATATATGCCTATCATCTGGAGAAGCCACTGTGGGGGAGGGATAGATTTAAAGAAACAACTAGCCCAGGCACAGTGGCTCATGCCTGTAATCCCAGCACTTTGGGAGGCCAAGGCGGGCAGATCACCTGAGGTCCGAAGTTTAAGATTAGACTGGCCAACATGGCAAAACCCCGTCTCTACTAAAAATACAAAAATTAGCCAGGCATGGTAGAGGGCACCTATAATCCCAGCTACTAAGGAGGCTGAGGCACGAGAATGGCTTGAACCCAGGAGCTGGAGGTTGCAGTGGGCTGAGATTGTAACACTGCACTCCAGCCTGGATGACAGAGCAAGACTCCGTCTCAAAAAAAAAAAAAAAGGAAACAACTAATTTGTCCTAGGAAGAAGAAAAAAAAATAGCTCAGTATGAGGTATGTGAGGTATGCAAAATTTACCAGGCCCAGAAACATGAGGATGAGACTTTAGTCACAGGACACACCCCCATACCCAGGGATAATTGTTTAAAAACATTTCCTCTTTTTCTTCCTTGTAGTTTCCAGGCTAGCTCGCAAATACCTACAGTGTTACTGCAAGCTGTACAATGTGACCCTCACCAATTATCTTCATGTTCCTGTTATCTGTGATATAAGGAACAATGTATAGACAATCACTAATCAATTTTATTTCTGTAAACCAAAGAGAATTCCTGCCAAACAACTTTGTATCAGTCCACACCCTGTCCCTGATTTTTGGCCTTTAAAAACATGTTTGTAACAAAGGCCAAGTGGAACTCAAATCCAGGGTTACTTGGATCTGAGTCTGCTGGGCAGCTGTCCTCATCTTGGCGCAGGTAAGGTCTTTAAAATCATACATTGTGTCTCAGTTTCTTCCTTTAGATCGACAGATGCCATTACAAACATATTTATCTTCTTGTACCAGCTTTTTCCCCACTTGATATACTGTTATTTGTACCTTGTGCAGAACTATTAAGCACAGAGATCAGCTGATAGTGAGATCCAGTTCCTCAGGCCAGTCACTTTCCATAGGTATTACATCTGAGGAGGTGTCAACTTAATTTCACAATACATATGATCATCAATTACAGTATTATAAGACTTATTTACACAAGAGAGTTTAATCTTGCCAACAGTATTATACCATATGACAGTAGAAGCATAGTACAAATCAGTTTTATTAAAGATCAGTAAGAATTAGAGGTATTTGCTTTGCCTTCCCAACAGAAAGCTACCCTTCCCCATCTGTCCACCTTTATCTTGATTAATAATCCTGAATACTGTCCCAGGAAATTTCTGTTCATATTTCTCAATGTAATCTCTGCCTTCTGACTTTTAAATTTCTCCAAACTGGGCAATATACAGCAAATACAGGTCTTAGGGATACTTTTTTCCCTTGCAGTGTGGCTTTGAGGCTGGTGGCCAAAGCTCAAACACAATGAAATCGGAGCCTTGCCTAGCATCAGGGTACAATCTAGCACTCTTTCACTTTGATTTTAGCTATCACAAGTAACAATAATCAAGTGACTGTGTATTTTATTTCGTATTTTTTGCATTTCCTCATGCAAGTGAGCCAACTCCCTGGGAGTTGGATCTGTCTCTGAATTCCAGCGGTAATTTTTACTAAGTACCTGAGAATAACACATTTGTGGCTCCATAGCAGGGGTGACCACCTGACCATCTAAGAGTCAAAAGTTCCTCATTTCCCATTCATTTATCCTTTTTCTTCCTAAACCATGCTTTGATGAGCCACTCTAGCTAGAGCTCTTAGCAAATCCCAAACCTGACATCGATTCTGAGGATACAGAAATAAACCAGGGCCGGGCGCGGTGGCTCAAGCCTGTAATCCCAGCACTTTGGGAGGCCGAGGCGGGTGGATCACGAGGTCAAGAGATCGAGACCATCCTGGTCAACATGGTGAAACCCCGTCTCTACTAAAAATACAAAAAATTAGCTGGGCATGGTGGCGTGTGCCTATAATCCCAGCGACTCAGGAGGCTGAGGCAGGAGAATTGCCTGAACCCGGGAGGCGGAGGTTGCGGTGAGCCGAGATCGCGCCACTGCACTCCAGCCTGGGTAACAAGAGCGAAACTCCGTCTCAAAAAAAAAAAAAGAAAAAAAAAAAGAAATAAACCAGCTCAGTTTCTACTACTATTCTGTCACAACACAAAATGCTTCTGTGACCACATGTGTGAGGGCTTTCCCCACACACCAAGCAAGTAGTAATTTCTGCAGCAGACACTGGCTAGATGTCCTCTAATTCAATGCAATTCTACCTGGAGACATCACATGCCCCAGGTTAAGGGCTTGGTCCAACAAGACTGCCCTCCTTTTCCCATTTCATATGCCAAATGCAAGCCCCAGGTTGTTTTAACTCTGCTTCTGACCTGGCAGTTCTAAATAGAGGTTCCCACAAGCCCCTCCTTAGGTTCAATGAATTTCCTAAAGCAGGTCACAGAACTCGAGAAACACTATTTACATTTACCAGTTTTAATAAAGGATATTACAAAGAATACAGATGAAAAGATGTATAGTGCAAAGCACAGAAAGGGACAGGGAGCTTCAATACCCTCTCCAGGCATACCACTTTGCAGTAACCTCAGCTACCCACTGACCTCTCCTTGTGGGTTTTCATAAGGCTTCATTATACAGGCATGACATTAAACCACTAACCATTGGTGGGCCAGACACAGTAGCTCACGCCTGTAATTCCAGCATTTGGGAGGCCGAGGAGGGTAGATCACCTGAGGTCAGGAGTTCGAGACGAGCCCGGCCAACATGGTAAAACGCCCTCTCTACTAAGGATACAAAAATTAGCTGGTGGTGGTGGTGAGTGCTGGTAGTCCCAGCTACTCAGGAGGCTGAGGGAGGAGAATCGCTTGAATCCAGGAGGCAGAGGTTGCAGTGAGCCAAAACTGCACCACTGCACTCCAGCCTGGGTCACAGAGCAAGACTCAAAACAAAAACCACTAGCCGTTGGTCTCTCCACTGACTAGCCCCCACCCTGATGCTACCTAAAGGTGGCCAGCCACCAGTCAACTAATTGGCATACAAAAAGATACTTAACACTTTGGGAATTACAAGGATTTTCTTAGGAGTTGCATGCTAGGAGAGAGGAGGAGAACCAAATATATACTTCCTAATATAACAAGGAGCATTAAGCAATGCTTCAGGGTACTGCTGAACTGGAGTGGCAGCTAACATTACTCAAGTGGAAAATGCTTGGTATGTTTCCAAACTAATTCCCAGGAGACACTAAATGACACAGGGGTCCCAAGCTGCCTTCCCAGTTTAACTATGAACTCCCAGTAGTTGAGAGAAGCTTCTTCCACTGACATTAAATCTGTTAAGATGTCACAGACATGGCCAGGGGCAGTAGCTCACACCTGTAATCCCAGCACTCTGGGAGGCCGCATCAAGTGGATCACAAGGTCAAGAGTTTGAAACCTGCCTGACCAACATGGTGAAACCCCATCCCTACTAAAATACAAAAACTAGCTGGGCATGGTGGCATGAGCTTGTAATCCCAGCTACTCAGGAGGCTGAGACAAGAGAATCACTTGAACCCAGAAGGCAGAGGTTGTGGTGAGCCAAGATCATGCCATTCCACTCCAGCCTAGGCAACAAAGCAAGATTCCCTCTCCAAAAACAAAGATACCACAGAGAGGGCCGGGCACAGTGACTCACACCTGTATTCCCAGTACTTTGGAAGGTGGGTGGATCACCTGATGTCTCAAGTTCAAGACCAGCCTGACCAACATGGAGAAACCCCATCTCTACCAAAAATACAAAATTAGACAGACGTGGTGGCGCATGCCTGTAATCCCAGCTACTCAGAAGGCTGAGGCAGGAGAATCGCTTGAAACTGGGAGGCAGAGATTGTGGTGAGCCAAGATGATGCCATTGCACTCCACCCAACAAAAGCAAAACTCTGTCTTAAAAAAAGGGTGCCACAGACATCCGAGAACATCAATGTAGTAATAGAATAGTATGCTGTATGAATTCTGAGGTTTTTATTGCTGTAGTACAATTAGAAACAGAGAAGGGGGACCGGGCATGGTGGTTCACAAGGTAAGGAGATCAAGTCCATCCTGGCCAACATGGTAAAACACCGTCTCTACTAAAAATACAAATATTAATCAGGCGTGGTGGCATATGGCTGCAGTCCCAGCTACTCAGGAGGCTGAGGCAGGAGAAACGCGTGAACTGGGGAGGCAGAGGTTGTAGTGAACTGAGATGGCGCCATTATACTCCAGCCTGGGCGACAGAGCAAGACTCCATCTCAAAAAAAAAAAAAAAAAAAAAAATGGAGACGGGGGCCAGGCATGATGGCTCACACCTGTAATACCAGCACTTCAAGGTCAGGAGCTTCAGACCAGTTTTACCAACAAGGTGAAATCCTGCTTTACTAAGAAAAAAAAAAAAAAAAAAAAAAAATAGCCAGGTATGGTGGCAGGCACCTGTAATTTCAACTACTCGGGAAGCTGAGGCAAAAGAACTGCTTGAACCTAAGAGGTGGAGGTTGCAGTGAGCCAAGATTGCACTACTGCACTCCAACCTCGGTGTCAGAGTGAGACTCCAAAAAAAAAAGACAAAGCGAGGATTAAAATACTAGCCAGGTGCAGTGGCTCACGCCTGTAATCCCAATAAACTACTCTGAGACGGGATGACAGCTTGAGCCTAGCCTGGCAACATATGGAGATCCCAACTCTACAAAAAAACATCAAAAAAAAATAGTTGGGAATAGTAGGAGGCTGAAGTAGGAGGACTGCTTGAACCCAGGATGTCAAGGCTGCAGAGTCGTGACTGTGCCACTGCACTCCAGCCTGGGCAAGAGACAGGCTGCTTCAAAAGACATTAAAGCACTATTATTTCTGACATGACAAGAGCCACACAGGGACCAAAACACCAGCTACACTATGGCTCAAGGTTATTATGAACACTAACTCAGCAGCTTTTGAGGTTAAACAAACTCCAGTGGCCTGGCCTGGAAATAAAACCTCTATCACTGTCTCCACAGAAAAAGCAACATTTCAAATTCTACAGCCAATCTGTGAACTGGGGACTGTGTGAAATCAGTTCAAATTTTCAATACAACTCAATATACTCAAAGACTCATTTCCACAACAAAAACCCCCATTCTAAGTCCACAGAAGTACTCACAGAAATGGAAGCAGTAGGATCCAACTGATATTTAGCTGCAATGCCAAAACGAGTGCAGTTGGTACCCGATGTCCAAGCAAGGTTTACTGAAGTGTCAAGATCTTCACATACTTTCTGATAAATTGATCCTCCAAATTCTGTCCCATCATTGCTATAAGACATTTTTAATTAGTAGATCTAGAATAGACAATGTAATAATGTCTAAGGCACAGGCTTGTACCATCATATTTAAATAAAAACCACAGCTCAAAAATAAAGAAAAAGAAAAAACAACACAGCTCAAGTGGGTTTTTTCCCCAACCCACACCCATACAGGGATTAGCAAAATGAACCATAGAACAGCCATCCAGTGGAATTATCACACTGTATTTAACATGGAAGAGTTTCTCAAACAGCCTTTTGGTTATGTATTTCATATATAAGTACATATACGTACACATATAAAAAGGTGAACCACCACAACATTAACCACGATTATACACCTAGCTGGCAGGATTATGAGAAATGCAGATCTTCTTCTTTGTGCTTCTGTTATTTACCAACGGATTTTTACAATGGGAAAAAACATTTTGAGTACTTTACATATATCTACCTAGCTGGGGCTAGGTAAAACCACCAGGCCGGATGCAGTGGCTCCCGCATATAATCCCAACACTTTGGAAGGCTGAGGCGGGGGGATCGCTTAAGGCCAGGAGTTTTAGACTTTATAGAGACCCTGTCTCTACAAAAACAATTTTTTTTAAAACCAACAACAGCCAGGTGCGGTGGCTCACACCTGTAATCCCAGAACTTTGGGTGGGCAGATCAGGAGTTCGAGACCAGCCTAGTGGGCATGGTGGTGCGTGCCTGGAGTCCCAGCTACTTGGGAGGCTGAGGCAGGAGAATTGCTTGAACCCGGAAGGTGGAGACTGCAGTGAGCTGAGATCGCACCACCGCACTCCAGCCTGGGAGACAGCACAAGACTCTGCCTCTCAAAAACAAAAAACAACAACAACAAAACACCATATATTTTAGGTAATCCTATCAAGTCAGCACCCCACACATCATAATAATTAAGTAAAATGACGGCCGGGCGCGGTGGCTCAAGCCTGTAATCCCAGCACTTTGGGAGGCCGAGGTGGGTGGATCACGAGGTCAAGAGATCGAGACCATCCTGGTCAACACAGTGAAACCCCGTCTCCACTAAAAATACAAAAACATTAGCTGGGCATGGTGGTGCGTGCCTGTAATCCCAGCTACTGAGGAGGTTGAGGCAGGAGAACTGCCTGAACCCAGGAGGCAGAGGTTGCGGTAAGCTGAGATTGCGCCATTGCACTCCAGCCTGGGTAACAAGAGTGAAACTCCGTCTCAAAAAAAAAAAAAAAAAAAAAAAAAAATGAAGGCACTGGTAGCAGTCTGCCAATACCTAATGCCTCTTGTAAAAAAACAAGCACATTAAACTCCATATAAAATGAACATTTATTCTCTCAGCACCAAAAGTCAGACAAACATTCTTTTACTACAAGCTTTGCAGGAGCACCTTAGAAATGACCAAGAATGATTTTGTTTTTAAATGTTAAGAGAGATCCTTTAGGGTGCACCCAGATCAATAAGAGATGACAGAAAACAAAATCATCCTCTGAGGGCCTACATCACAATATCCTATGAAAGGAATACTTACACATTAGTGTGTAGCTGGAAGTCCCCAGTCCTGTAGCCCACTGCAAAGTTATTCCTTGTCAGCTTTGATTTGGCACTGTCAAAGGTCATCTGGTACCCAGCAAGCCAGCCTTCATAACCAAAGACAGCTGAACCATGGATTGCAGGTCCAGCAAAATCAAAGTCAACATCACAACCAAGGTTTATACACTCCCTCTTGTAAGAGGACTTGATTTTACCACTTTTCTTTCTGGAAAAAGAACAAACTGATGTCAGTGGGCAAATTTTACACACGCTTCTGCAGAGAGAGCACAAAGCAGACTTAAATGAACTGCAGTATGACCAGGGGATAAAAAACAGCAATACAATAACAGGGGATAAAAACTGAGCTCAATTAACTAAAATCAAGGACACATGAGGCAACTGGACAGCCATCATCTAGGAAGACTGCATTGCAGAACACGCAGTCAGTCACAAAAGCCTTTAGAAACACATTAATTGCCCAAGTTAGTACAACAGAGAGGCAAATATTTGAAGGCAAGGCAATGATAGCAACCATCGTATTCTAAAAGCAGATACAGGCCAGCAGTGTATCGGTGCCTCCCACCTATAATCTCAGCACTCTGGGAGGCTCAGGTGGGCAGATCACCTGAGGTCAGGCGTTCAAGACCAGCCTGGCCAACACAGTGAAACCCCGACTCTACCAAAAATTTAAAAAAAAAAAAAAAAATTAGCCAGGCATGGTAACCCACATCTGTAATCCCAGCTATTCGTGAGGCTGAGACAGGAGAACCACTTGAACCCAGAAGGCAAAGGTTGCAGTGAGCCAAGATTGCACCATTGCACTCCAGCCCGAGCAACAGAGTGAGACTTCGTCTCAAAAAACCAAACAATAAATAAACAGCCGGATGCAGTGGCTCATACCTGTAATCCCTGCACTCTGGGAGGCCCAGGTGGGCGGATCACCTGAGGTCAGGAGTTCCACACCAGCCTCGCCAACATGGTGAAACCCCATCTCTCCTAAATATACAAAAATTAGCTGGGTGTGGTGACGAGTGCCTGTAGTCCCAGCTAGTCAAGGAGGCTGAGGCAGGAGAATCTTGATCCTGGGAGGCAGAGGCTGCAGTGAGCCAAGATCGTGCCACTGCACTCCAGCCTGGGTGACATAACAAGACTCCATCTCAAATAAATAAATAAATAAAAACAGATACAGAGATTTCGCCACCACAAGGTAGCTTAATAAGCTATAAAGCAGTAAATGTACACCTTTTCTAAATATACAAAAGAAATGCTTTTAAATGCAATGCAGATAAAAATGGCTGTGCTTACCCTGTGTTTGGTGAGAAGGTAGTATCAAATGTCAGTTTCAAACCTTGACAAATCTATTTTGAAAGAAAAGTAATTTGTTTTCTGCGTTGTTATTTTTTGAAATACAAAAAAAAATTAATACTAAAACACATTTTCAAAATGTTACCTGGTCTTCAATTGCGATTTCTGTTCCCAGAGTGTTATCAGTGTTCCATTTTTCTGTGAAAGTCAGACCATACTCACACCACTTATATTTGGTCTCCAAGGTCCCAGTAACTTTACCAGTGTCTGTATTAGATGAGCCAGATGTTGAGAATTCCTAACAAGACAATCAATAACTTCATGAACATTCTCATAAGCCTAGAATTCATCACTGCCTAACTCACACACACACACAAAAAAAACCCAATGAAACATTTGGTAAATTCACGAATCCTTTTTCTAGCTTTCTGAAAAATCATATTCCTCTGCCCTGTGCTACTCTCTAAAAACATACAAGAGTGACAAGCCTTTGGGCAACTGACTGCCACTTTACATACAGCTGACATTTCCAATCAATCACAAGTTAACCTGTAGCTAATTCTCAAGTGAGCAAACTGTACATCTTTTTTTTTTTCCTTTGAGATGGAGTCTCGCTCTGTTGCCAGGCTGGAGTGCAGTGGTGCAATCTTGGCTCACTGCAATCTCTGACTCCTTGGTTCAAGCCATTCTCCTGCCTCAGCCTCCAGAGTAGCTGGGATTACAGGCATGCACCACCATGCCCAGCTAATTTTTGTATTTTTAGTAGAGACAGGATTTCACCATGTCGGCCAGGATGGTCTCGAACCCCTGACCTCAGGTGATCCACCCACCTCAGCTTCCCAAAGTTCTGGGATTAGAGTCATGAGCCACTGTGCCCAGCCAACTCTACATCCTTTTTTTTTTTTTCTTTTGAGACCAAGTCTCACTCTGTCACCCAGGACGGAATGCAGTGGCGCAATCTCAGCTCACTGCAACCTCTGCCTACCAAGTTCAAGTGATTCTCCTGCCTCAGCCTCCCAAGTAGCTGAGATTACAGGTGCCCACCACCAAGCCCAGCTAATTTTTGTATTTTTAGTAGAGACGGAGTTTCACCATGTTAGCCAGGCTGGTCTCAAAACTCCTGACCTCAGGAGATCCACCCACCTTGACCTCCCAAAGTGCTGGGATTACAGGTGTGAGCCACCATGCTCGGCCAACTGTTTTGGAGACAGGGTCTCGCTCTGTCGCCCAGGCTGGAGTACGGTGCCACAGTCACAGCTCACTGCAGCCTCAAACACCTGGGCTCAAGCGATCCTGCCATCTCAGCCTCCCAAGTAGCTGGGGCTTCAGGTGCCCACCACCAAGCTCAGCTAATTTTTAAATTTTTTCGTAGACATGGGGTCTCACTTTGTTGCCCAGGTTAGTCTCAGAACTCCTGGGCTCAAATGACCCTCCTGCCTCGGCCTCCCAAAGTGCTAGGATTACAGGAATGAGCCACTGTAACTTACTTAACTTTTTTGGGTCCGTTTCTGCAACTATAATTACAAAGCCTACCTATGGATGATTAAACTGAATTGACACTGTAAAAGCTTTGTACATTTTCATATGCTCTACACAAATGGAAAGCATTATTAAAACAAAAAATGGAACAGGTTCTTCTAGCAGATGTTTGAATGAGTAATGTGTGAATAGCTATTTTTAATCCTGAATGACATTAATGACTCTTGGGGCCCCATCCACTGCCATCCATCAGTCCACAAATCAAGAGCAAGCCTACATACACATGCCAAGGAAGCTCACGAAACAAAGCCAACACCACCCTGTGGGACCAGCGTTGGGCCAGATTACAGCTCATCCCTTTACTCCTCCACCAGACATTTTGGTTTCTACATTCTGGGGTGGCCTCAGTAGCTCTGCAGTTCAAGTAAGAAAACAGAGCCAGGTATTAATGAAACTTTTCTAGGACCAGGTTCATATTACAGGATCAATACCGTGGTTTTTCAATTACATGTATTAAATGTGAATAAAAACATGCTATATCTGGCCGGGTGTGGTGGCTCACCCCTGTAATCCAAGCACTTTGGAGGCCAAGGCAAGCGGATCACCTGAGGTCAGGAGTTCAAGACCAGCCTGACCAACATGGTGAAACCCTGTTTTTAAAAATAAAAATAAAAATAAAAAATCATGCTATATCTCATCCAGCTCCTACACATCCCTCATGCTCTTAAACCTACTCCCATACAACTCTTACTAACCTTTTAAACAATAATCTATTCCTTTCCAACAAAGGTTTGGTTTATCAAACAATCTAGTATTTGATATAATTATCTCAGTCTTCTCAATTTGTCTCTCCAACTAGAAAGTAAGCTTTTTAAACACAAAGATTGAGTCTTTTTTAGAAGGCCTTTTATGCATACAACTAGGGCCCTCAATAGACTAACAATGGGAACATTAAAAAACACACTAAATCACTGCTCTATAACCTGTTAACTTGGCCAAATAAATAATCCAATCATAACTAAACACCAAGGCTTCCTTTCAGAGCAAAGAAACCAAGTGACAGATATGATCAATATAAAAACCCCAGAAATCCAACAGGTCTAGGCTTTTAAGCAACTCTAGGCCAAGCCCTGTGGCTCAAGCCTGTAATCCCAGCACTTTAGGATTATTTGAGGTGAGGAGTTTGAGACCAGACTGGCCAACATGGTGAAACACTGTTTCTACTAAAAATACAAAAATTAGCCAGACATGGTGGCGTGCACCTGCAATCCCAGTTACTTGGGAGGCTGAGTCAGGATAATCACTTCAATCTGGGAGGTGGAGGTTGCAGTGAGCTGAGATCACTCCACTGCACTCCAGCCTGGGTGACAGAGAAAGACTGCATCTCATGGAAAAAAAAGAAACTATAACATTAGTTTGAATAAACACCAGTTATACGTACTACATCAAAAATATGTAAAAATATATATACATATATCAAAATAATCTATAGTATTCTCATATGCACACACTTATACCCACCCCCAAAACAATCTCAAAACAAAAATTTTTAGAGTAAAAAAAAAAATTGCACAAAGTTAAATTTTACCAGCTGGACTGGACGTGGTGGCTCACATCTATAAATCCAGCACTTTGGGAGGCCAAGGCGGGAGGGATCACCTGGGCAACATGGCAAAACATCATCTCTAAAAAAACTACCAAAAATAGCTGGACATGATGGATAAGGCCTGTACTCCCAGCCGCTTGGGAAGCTGAAGTGGGAAGACTGCTTGAACCCAGGGGTCAAGGCTACAGTGAGATTATGCCACTGCACTCACTCCACTCCAGCCTGGGCAACAAAGCGAGACCCTGTATCAAAAATTATATTTTACTCTAACCCCTTTGTAAGAGTTCATTGAGCTATCAAAGACATTCAAATACCAAAATATTAACCTCTTTAAACAATATTCTTGGCCGGGCACAGCGGCTCACACCTGTCATCCCAGCACTTTGTGAAGCTGAGGTGGGTGGATCACCTGAGGTCAGGAGTTCAAGACCAGCCTAGCCAACATGGTGAAACCCCCAGCTCTACTAAAAATACAAAAATCAGTCAAGCATGGTGGCAGGCACCTATAATCACAACTACTAGGAGACTGAGGCAGGAGAATCACATGAACTCAGGAGGCGGAGGTTGTAGTGAGCCAAGATCACACTACTGCACTCCAGCCTGGGTGACAGAGCAAAACTCCATCTGAAGAAAAAAAAAAAAAAAGTTCAGATCAGGACTCCCTAAACTCACAAAATACATGTGGAAATCTTCTCCAGGGAGAACTGCTAGAAAATGGACATTATATAAATGATCAGTACATTCAATTTGAGTTACTGATATTTTTATGCCCATAACTCTAAAAAGCATTGAAAAAGAGTCACAAAAAGTGTAATAGGTTCTTTGCCTTCAAATGTGTAATCTCACTGAGTAAAATGTATCACCTGACCTGTTTTTCCCAAGTTCCTTGTGCATACATAACATGACAAAAGACCACATGAAAATCAGACATCACATCCAAAGCCAAAATAAATCAGGTTACATGCAAATCTTTCTTTTTTCTTTTTTTGGAGAATGGAGTGTCACTTTATCACCCAGGCTGGAGAGCAATGGCGAGATCTCAGCTCACTGCAACCTCCGCCTCCTGCGTTCAACCAATTCTCCTGTCTCAGCCTCCCGAGTAGCTGGGATTACAGGCATGCACCACCACACCCGGCTAATTTTTATATTTTCAGTAGAGACGGGTTTTCACCATCTTGGCCATGCTAGTCTCGAACTCTTGACTGACCTCAGGTGATCCACCCACCTCAGCCTCCCAAAGTGCTAGGATTACAGGCGTGAGCCACCACACCTGGCCACAAATCTCTTAAAACAAAGTTAACTTCTACCACTTCTTTAAAACAGGTAGACATCTTTCAGTTATGACTATTTTACAAACTGAAAAATCATAAAAGGTTCAACTGAACTTATTTCATGGTAACACTCACCACGCCACTGCAAGACTTTGTTTTCACATCCAGTTTCACCAACCCAAAACCTTCAACAAGTAGAGAGCAAAAAGATAACAAAATGATTCTTTTGTATGAAAGATGCATAGCAATTGTTGACTATACATTAAAAAAAAAATTCCACATATTCAGGGATGGATAAAAATGTGTTAATATACAGCCAGGCGTGGTGACTCACACCTATAATCCCAGCACTTTGGGAGGCCACAGCTGGAGGATCACCTGAGGTCAGGAGTTCGAGACCAGCCTGGCCAACATGGTGAAACATCGTCTCTACTAAAAATACAAAAAAATTAGCCAGGCGTGGTGGCATGTGCCTGTAATCCCAGTTACCTGGGAGGATGAGGCAGGAGAATCATTGGAACCCAGGAGGTGGAGGCTGCTGTGAGCCGAGATCCCACCACTGCACCCCAGCCTGGGAAAGAGCAAGACTCTGTCTCAAAAAACAAAAACAAAAAAACTCTGTATGACATTTAGGACATTTACGCCAATGTGGTATCTCCAACAATCTAAAGGTGGGGAAGAGTGTGGAACGATCTTTAAGAAAATTCAAATTCACCTGAAAAAGCTCGCAACTCTGGAAAGTATTAGGACTCACCACAAAAGCGAAACAGTAATATGTCACAACTCTAGTCAACCAAGGCCTAAGCTGTAATTGAAAAAAATTAAAGCACAAGCCGCTTTTTCTTAAAAGTTAAAATCCTCTAACTATAGTTTTAAAAAACTTGGGGAAATTGGGGAAGGGGGCTGTGGACTGTAAAAGAACTATTTTCTCAGAAGTTTAAGTATCTTAAGCATCTAACAGAATAATTAATACAAGGCTGGGCACATCAGCTCATGCCTGTAATATAATCCCAGCAAGTTTTGAGAGGCCACTGTGTTACTGGGTAACATAGTGAGACCCCACCTCTACAAAAAATTTAAAAAATTAGCCAGGTGTGGCAGAGCATGCCTGTAGTCCCAGCTACGTGGGACTTGGGAGTCTGAGGTAAGATAACCACTTGAGCCCAGGCTGCGGTGAGTTATGATGATGCCACTCATCCAGCCTGGGCAACAGTGGGAGATCCTGTCTCAAAAATATAAATAAATAAGTCCAAATTTAAAGAAGCAAGATATTAACAATTTGCAACGATTCATCTGATTTCCCTAAGAAACCCAAACATAAATTTTCACTCTTATCTAAAACGTTTTAAAAATAAAGTTCTTACCAAATCCTTTGTTGAAAATATCTCTGGCAGCTTTGCCAAGGTCAGCATATGATGGAGGAATACACATAGCTGGTAGAAAAAAAATTCCAGTGTTAATGTCTCTATTCTCCCATCTTCTATCCAAGAACTAGAGTATGATCACTGCTATCTTTAAATTCGAACAATCTCATTTGTTGGAATTACGTTTTTTATGCAATCAGGAGCTACAATAAAACTATAACAACCCATGAAGGAGATACCACCAACAAATTATTTCTAAAATAGATAACCATGGTTATACAAACTTGGGAAATTCGTTCCAAAATAGAAAAACAGCCTATTGCTAAATTTAGAGTACCCACAGCCTCACTTCCTAGGACTGGACAGGTACAAAGAACCAAACAAGTATTTGTGTGTATGGATATGTATGCATCTGCCAAAATTCACTGAGATGAGCTGATTTAACTAAATGAGATAAAATCAAAACTTAAGACTAGGCCCTTTTCCCTGATACATCCTTTAATATCTTTGCTGAGGTGAAAACCAACATCCTGGAGTGGGAAGAGAACTTAATACTCTGGGAATTTAAATACTGGAACTTGGAAAAAATACTGCCATCTGTGTTTCACTCAAGTGTCTATATCAACTAAGTATCAAATAGCGCTTCAAACTTATTAACATGACTCTCAAGTCCTTAGCCAATGCTGTGCTGCTTAAGGGCAAGCAATCTGAGCTCGTTACACCCGCTCATTCATTCCACAAAGCACGTCCACGCCCTTAGGAGCACAAGTAATGACCTTGTGCTCTCAAAAGAGGGACTGCTACTTCCTCTAGAAGTGACTAATCCGATCCTCCAAAGGTGGAATCCCCAATTAATAACTTTTACTTCTGTACGTCAAAGACATGTACAAAAACTGAAAGTCCATGCGGCCACAGACTAACTCCCCGGGCCTTGTTCCCCTATTTGAAGTCCAGCATCCCAGCCCCTCCTCCGCAGAGGTGGTCAGACAGTGGCGTGACCACTAAAATAAGCCGAATTTCCAAGTCCTTGGAAAGACGAGGGGAAACAAACTGCGGGTTTCTAGTCGACAGGCTTCGACTCCCCGTCCAACCCGCCCCATCCCGTAGAGATCTCCGCTCTACTTACGCCGCGCGCAAGTCTGTCCGTGGGTAGCCATGGCGAGGCCGCGGGAAGAGGGGATCTGCGGGAGGGACAAGAAGTGCGGTCAGCTGGGGTCAAAGAGCCAAAAGGAGGTCCCTTACAGAAAGGGACGAGGGACCGCGGGGCAGCGCGGCCATCTTAGGGAGCCAGGGCCGACCCGGAGTCCGGTGCAGGCCTCCCGCTTGGCCGCCGGGGCGTAGGCCCCTGGGTCCGCGTGAGGCGGGCGCGGCGGTACCTGGTGGTCTCCTGAGGGGGGCCGCCGCCACCGCTCCGCTAGCTGCTGAAGCCACTCGGCACGCTCGCGGTGGAGCTGCAGCTGCAGCGGCTGGAGGGCGAAGTGAAGGAGACACCGTTCCGCCCGCCGCAACCCCGTCCTCTCCCAGCCAGGACCCCGCCGCTGCCCCCGGGGCTGTCCGCCGCGCCTGTCCCCGCAGCGCCGCCCGCTGCCCACTCCAACCTGCTCCGGAGCGGCCACGTGGACCGAGAATGCACCGGTCCTGCAGGTGGGCTGCCTCTCGCCGTCGGCGGGGGTCGGGAAAGCAGACACTACTGGGCCTTGCATCAGGCAGCTATCAGGGCAGCCTCAGAGGCGAGGGGGCGGGGAACGGCAGAGGCAGAGCACTGGGGCCCGCGCGGGAGGGGGATGGGGCGGAGGCCCCGCGCGAGCGCGTCACGGACAGGGCGGGGCGTCGGCGCGTGCTCGGGGCGACTGGGCGCGGTGGCGCCCCACCGGGGTCGCGTGCATCCCTCCATCTCTCTCTCCGTGCTGGTACGGGTCTCCACCAGAAACAAACGACCGCATAGGGCGCCTGCTGGGAGACAGCTGAGCGTTACCCACGCCCACCCTAAGCTAGCGCTGCCACCGCTTCTGAGGGACCGCTTCTCTTTCCCAGCCCTGGCAGAACAAGTGGGGCACAGGGGCGCCACCTCCAGCCCCTCGCGCCCTTCGGCCCTCGTTTCCTGCCTTGCGGGGCTGGGCTGTGTGCCTGAGAGGTGAGCGGGTCCCAGCTTGGCCCACGCCTTTCCACTTGGCCTTAGGCTTTCTCTACCGCGGCTCCTCCCCATCGGGCCTAGCACGGCTTCACACACGCACGGACCCGGAACTTGGCGAGGCAAGCCTGCTCCAGGCCCAACCTCCTCTGGATTATGGGACTGGAGAAAATGTGGAATCATGCTGAGCAGGCGTTAGAATGCTGCACCCAAGTTCCCCGGTGTGTGCAGGAAGGGTGTTAGAGCTGTTAGATAAAATGTAGAGGAGGTCGTTAGTTCAGACTGAGCTCTGCATTAGGCTCAAACCAAATCAAAATGGAGTTATTCATGCTGAAGTTCCACACCACCAAGCCAAAGCTAAGATCTTTATCTGACCTTCCAAGAAATCAGGAGAGAGAGAGAGATGCTAGCCATATTCCCAAACAGGCTGGGCGCTGTGGCTCACGTCTGTAATAACCAGCACTTTGTGTCTACCAAAAAAAAAAAAGAGAAGAAAAAATTAGCCAGGCGTGGTGGCCGGCGCCTGTAGTCCCAGCTACTTGGGAGGCTGAGGAGAGAGGATCACTTGAGCCTGGGAGGTTGAGGCTGTAGTAAGCTTAGATCGTGCCTCTACTGCACTCCAGCCTGGGTGCTAGAAAGAGACCCTGTCTCAAAAATCCCCAAGCAGGCCAGTTTTAGCTGGCATGAAGAAGTCCCCTGTTCTTTAACTTTTACAAGAAAAGTAACTTAGTGCCAACCAATCCACTTTTTGTTTCTGCTTTCCTGGGCCCTTTTCTGTCTGTAACTGTAAAACCAACTTCCGCTTCTCGTTAGAATGCTCATTCCATTTTACAGAATGAAACATTGCCCAATTGTAGAATTGGAACTAAAAGCCAGTTAAGATGTTTAAACTAAATTCGTTGTAATTTTTCTCTTTTAACAGAGCCAAAGGAAGAAGATAAAATGAGCAGTCTAATGAAATAGAAATGAGTTCAATTGGAACTCCCAAAGCAATCACCTATGTCAGTAATTTAGCCAGTACACCTGTTTTTTTCCTCTTTTTTTTTTCCAAGTGACAACTTCACTGCTAGCATACAGTTTTTTAATCTATAAAATGACAAATGGGCCGGGCGTGGTGGCTCTTGCCTGTAATCTCAGCACTTTGGGAGGCTGAGACGGGTGGATCACCTGAGGTCAGGAGTTCAAGACCAGCCTGGCCAACATTGTAAAACCCTGTGTTTAAAAAAGAAAGAAAGAAAAAATAATAACAAATGAAATGAAGTGATCTTTAATAGCCATCAGCCATAGACTGTGAGCAAAGCATTTCCCCCCTTGACTTTGTCTGCCTCTGAAAGCTACGTCTGCTCAAATGCTCTCAAGATTCTTTTTACCCTTCTCCTAAACCAGAAAAGGATGGCTAGATGAGCTTCCACTTCAAAACCCAGATTAAAGCTGCAGCCCAGAAGGTTTCCCTCTCCTGAGCAAGCCCGGCCAGCAGTCTTGCCTGGTCATGACTGGGCTTATTCATGTTGCAAAAGGGTCATGACTGGGCTTACTTATTAGCAGAATTTACTTCTAAGAGATCAGGCACCAGAAGCTCTCATTCATTCCTTCATTCGAGCTCAGACAGGTCTGTTTGCAATCATCCTGACTCTTCTGGGAAATGGCGTGGTATATTTGATGTTATTGTGAGGCTAATAACAAAGACCGGCATTTCCATCCTGACTGCACCACAGCACACTACCTCCCCGAAATACCCAGTCTGATAAATTAGTCACCTCCACTATCTGCAGTAGGGCTTATTCACAGTGTGAATTATCTGTAGCAATTTTTAGCCCCCAAAACTTCACTTTCTCTGAGGTTTCACCTTCTGCAAACCCAAGGAATGTACAATATCTAATGACCAGGGGAAGAAGATCTGTGGCTAAACAAGGAGTCATGGCAATTTTTTCAAGCGCTGGATTCAGTAAATAAATCTGAGTGCTTACATCCAAAGTCCTTTAGACCAAAGCTGCTTTAGTAGGTAGCTACTCCCTACCACAAGCAACTACTTTCTGTCATCTACAGGGTAAGCAAAGTCCATTGAGACACAGTCCCTACTCTCAAGGCACTTATAGTCAAGTGTGTGTAAAGGTGTCAAGAACGGGGGAGGATCCAAAATTTTACCCTACTTGCAAGCTAGCAAGTTAGCCTGCCATAGTTTCAGAGGCTCACAGATGCTGGCAGAAGACATGAGACATATGGGTCAAGGATAAAAGACTCTTCTTATTTGTGGCACAGCAGGCAGTGTAAGCTTCATGTTTGCCTCAGTTCCCCTTGTCCTCTGCATCCCACAGGGGTCATGCAGAGCAGCTTGTGTGGATGCTGTGCACACCATGCATTGATGTCACAGCTAAGGAACCCTACGTTTACAAAACTGCCAGTCTTAGAAGGAGCTGCTGACACATCTGCCCAACCTTCATCCTGTGAAAGGAAAATATCTTGGACCCCCAAGATCATTAAGCTAAAGGGAAAATTCAAGCTGGGAACTACATGTGGCAAACCTGCCTCCCATTCTATTCAAAGTCATCCTTCCGCTCACTGAGATAAATGCATATCTAATTGCCTCCTTTAGAAAGGCTAATCAGAAAATGCAAGCATTTGTCGCTCACCTACCTGTGACCTGGCAGTCCTCTTCCCCACTTAAAGTTGTCCTGCCTTTCCAGACCAAACCAATGTTCATTTTACATGTGTTGATTGATGTCTTCCTGTCTCCCTAAAAATATGTAAAACCAAGCTGTGCTCTGACCACCGTGGGCACATGTCATCAGGACCTCCTGAGGCTGTGTCACGGATAAGTGTCCTCAACCATGGCAAAATAAACAAATAAACTTTCTTTTTTTTTTTTGAAACAAAGTTTTGCTCTTGTTGCCCAGGCTGGAGTGCAATGGCACGATCTCCACTCACTGCAACCTCCACCTCCTGGGTTCAAGTCTTATATGATTCTCCTGCCTCAGCCTCCCAAGTAGCTGGGATTACAGGTGTGCCACCACCATGCCCGGCTAATTTTTGTATTTTTAGTAGAGACAGGGTTTCACCATGTTTGCCAGGCTGGTCTCAAACTCCTCACCTCAGGTGATCTTCCTACCTCCGCCTCCCAAAGTGCTGGGATTACAGGCATGGGCCACCACGCCCGGCCTGTAATTTTTTTTAATTTAATTTAATTTAATTTTAAATTCCAGGATACATGTGCAGGACATGCAGGTTTGTTACATAGGTAAACAAGCATTTTATTATCTGAAAGTTTCTGTGGCCAAAAATTAGGGACTGGCATATCTAGGTGGTTCTGGCTCAGAGCCCCTCAGGAGGTTGCAGTTGAGATGTCGAGGCTGGGGCTGCAATCATCTGAAGGCTTAACAGCACTCCAGGACCTGCTTTCAGGATGGCGCCCTCATGTGGTTTTTGGCAGGAGGCCTCAGTTCCTTTCCGTTTGCTTCTCCTTGAGGCTGGTTGGGTGTCCTTGTGACATGGCCACTGGCTTCTCTCAGAGCAAGTGATCCAATGGAGTCACTAAAGCCGCAATGTCTTATATGATCCAGGCTCAGAAATCACACTATCGTTTCTGCCTTATTCTATTTGTTAGAAGTGAGTTACTAAGACCAGACCACACTCAAGGGGAGGGAAATTAGGGTCTGTCTTTTGAAAGGAGTGTCAAAGAATTTGTGGATATTCTGTGTGTGTGTGTGTGTGTGTGTGTGTGTTTATTCTTTAAATCTCCACAGCCTATCTTTTGAAAGGAGTGTCAATTTGTGGATATTTTTAAAATATTTTTTAAATCCTCACAGCCTATGCCATGGTGCCATTTACTTTCATTCCTCCCACATGCAAAATATACTCACCGCCTTCCAAAACCTCCCCCAAATCTCCAGCCTTCACAGTAGCAGCATGAGGCTCCTCGGGTGTAGTTCCCTGAGTACAGTAGTTTCTCTCCATCCGAAGACCTGTCTTCCTTGGGCTCCGGCATCCATAGGGAAAGGTGAGGAGAGTGAAAGAGTATTCAGTGGTGCAGCTGAGAACTTAGGGCAGTTTGTTAACAGCAGAACAGGCTTCTAGAGGACACAATGGGATGGGGTGAGGAGGGCAGCAGTGGAAGTTCAAACCAAGGAGAAGGAAGTGCAGACAGGACTGGGATAAAACTAGGAAGAGCCAGCCAGGCACGGTGGCTCACCCCTGTAATCCCAGCACTTTGGGAGGCTGAGGTAGGCGGATCACCTGAAGTAGGGAGTTCGAGACCAACCTGACCAACATGATAAAATCGTGTCTCTACTAAAAATACAAAAAATTGGCTGGACGGTGGCACATGCCTGTAATTCCAGCTACTCGGGAGGCTGAGGCAGAAGAATCGCTTGAACTTGGAAGCAGAGGTTGCAGTGAGCCGAGATCGCACCATTGCACTTTAGCCTGGGCAACAAGAGCAAAACTCCATCTCAAAAAAAGAAAACAAATTAAGAAGAGCACATATGAAGAGACAAACATATTTTGGAGAGTTAGGGCCAATGACCAGAGGTGAGGGGCATGTTAGGGTTCAGTGGGCTCAAAAGTCCTGTGAAAATCCATTAAATCATGTATAAAGGACAGCGTGCCTGGTTTTGGATATACAAACTTGGGCTGCCATTCTTAGCC